AAACACCCGGTATATTTTTCGTTGTTAATAATAATAATTATTAAATAATTGTAACAGAGCTCTTTTTACCAAATTCTAATAGGTACCTACTTAGAAATATTATATTCTTACTTAAAATATTTATTTATATATTCGATAAGTAGAGACATCTATACGTAAGTAGACAAAGTTAATTCTGTACCATAAAGAAATTTTAAAATAAAATTGTTTAATTTGGTCCCTTTTGGATATATAATTTGGTAAAAAATTAAAAAGAAATCCTTTTATGATTATTTTAATTTAAACAATCTAGATACTTAAACTGTTTGTGTTTTTAAAACATTACCATTATTTTTTGCACAAACAACTTTTGAGACGATTATATTTCAAGATATTGGTATCTTAAGTTTTAAAAACTCGACATTTAAAATACAGGGTATTTGGAAAATCTCTTTACAATACCTTTCATATTCCTTGAACCCATAATTTATTTAAAAAAAATTAAATAGTTTGTTATAACAAGAAAATTAATGAAATTGCGAAAATACAGTATTTTTAAAATTCAAACCATAAAATTTGAATTTTCAAATAATATTTTATATTATTATCTTTTGTTGTCTACATATAGCAAAGTACTTGAATTTTTATTTTAAATTTTTACCATTAAAATAACCGGAAATTTAGGATTTTTTTTCATTTTATTTAACTTGTCGCCATTTAGATAGATTAGATGCTCTTTAAAAGTACTTGCTGCAATTTTAATACAACTCAAATGGTTCGACATGTAGAGTATTAAAATATTACTTTTGCCCTTTATGGCAAAACCTTTAAAGTTTTTTTACTTTACTTGTAATTTTAACAGGTTTCTCGTAAAATTTCTAATAAAAGAGAGTACTTTGGTAGAAATGTAACGATACCGATACGATATAACTTACAGCAAATATCGGCCGATACCAATAAAACAGCTTATTAATAAGTAAATAAGTATTTACGTAACTGTTGAATAACTCACAGAAATGTTTTTTTAGGTGTTTGTACTATAAAAAGGAAAAAGAATAAAATAATAAGAGTTTAAATTAAAATTAATAACTTTTATTTATATAATAACTCATTGCAACACAAAATGTTAAACAAAATTAATTGATTTTTCCTGAAAGTAGTGTACCTATTTAATAGTAGAACCCTCGCTGGGTTTGTAAGAGTGTAAGCGTACACACCCCCCCCAGCAAAGAATCTGTAAAAAGTTACAGCCCAAGTGATAAATGAAATATAACACCACGGCAAATGTTATATTAAATTACGACAAATAAATAAAATAAATACTTACGGTAATAAAGCTCATTAATTTAGTAACCCAAGGTACTTGTGAGGTGTTGTATTCATGGGGAAAGTATTTAAAAGGGAAATAAAAAATACAATAAATAAAAGGCACTAAGTTACGTTTGAACTCAGGTCAAAAACCCGGAAGGCTCCCGTTTATTTTTTTATTAAGTATCACTCATAAAAACCTTCCAAAATGAGGGATTATGGGAGTGAGTTACACGTATAAAATATTTACAATTTATAACAAACAATAATGATATTTATTTGGATAGAGCAACAAAAATAACCGCAACCCAAACGACATTTAACTTAGTGAACTCTGAAAGAAAAGGACCTCCTACAACCTCTTAAAAACCACACAATATCTCCTTACTGCGACTACAACCCAAATATAAATAAATATATAAATAACATTAGATAAATAATACATCATACTAGAGCTTAGCTCTCGTTTTTCATTTTTAATTTTTATCTTCGCTTTTTGCTGATTTGTTTGTTTATTTGTTTGTTTGTTTGTTTGGTGAAAGTAGATTGAGTCTTAGTCTCTATTTTTGTATTTAAATTTAACTTTATTCATCAAGCATTCCGTCTGCAATAGGCCTCCATCATCCAAATAAAGTTTTTATATTTATTATTTACTGTTGAATTTAAGTTTACTGTTACACAAATTTTTCATGTAATATTTATTAGAGTTCAGGCTCAATAAACTGTTGGAAAAGGAGTAAATAATTATTAGGCCGCAAGTGCTTCAACTGAGGGTCCGCAATTGTCTATTTTGCCTCATTTGTCGGCAAACTTTAATAAATTAATAATTACCATAAAATACTAGGTAATCAAAATGACACAAATAACAAAAACAATATTCCGTCGCCCAACGTTGGTACCAGATGAAACAAACGATCGTCACCTAATAAAATTTACAGGATAGTAATTCAAAATGGGCTTGTTGCATCATGGACTCCACGGAAAGTGGATAAATTAAATTTCGCTATCGTACAATCACTGTTGCTACTCACTCCAAATGTAATACCAAATATTTAAATGTGACTGGTAAAATTACTAATTAATTACGGGACATAAATGTGAATCCGCGAGTACAATTTAACAAATCCCGTATTTAAGAAAATCGATATTAAATACACTTAATTTACACAGCGTTTACGTTAAATCCCCTTTTTGAAATATTTATTTAAATTAATTAAATAAAACCTGAGTACCGTCCTGACATTTAGCTTAATTAAATCGAATACGGTCCTGCCTATTTTAATTTGATGAAATCCCCGTAAATTCAGGCTCTTTTAATTTAATAATTACTCGTTCAAAATCCCTGCCTTTTATTAGATAAAATACACGTACCAATTGTTTATAACTTAGAATCTAAATTATAATACGAAACACCAAATTTTAAACGTAAATTTTACAGCGTGGTTTCTTTTAAACGGCAGCCATTACAGCGTAATAGATCGAACGATGACGCCAAGTCAATTGATCGAATATTTATCTTTACACAAGGTGTTTGTGTAAACTAATTATACCAAAATGCTCGGGAATATTTATACTACAATAATTTAGTTATTTAAAACGTACAAACCTACATTTTTAACCACTTTCCTGCACACACAATTTCTAAAACCCTTGACGCTGCACGGCTCTTCTCCAATGCTCGAATGAATGTTCTCCCCTGCCCGTCACTTGCGTCTAGCATTCTTTTCCCCTACCTTTTCCCACTTAATCAGGAGAGTATTTCTAACCAATGGCACGCTACCTTTTATATGTCACTTGTATTTCCGTTGCGCTAAATTTAAATGTTAGTTTTATTTACAAGGCTTTTTGAATACATTTATTTTAAACAATTAGGATCGTAATAATCCACGGATTGTTTATTAGGGGGGGTATTTGCAGATCTCCTCAAGAGTTAGCTAGAATTTTTTTCTATGGCCATATAAAGCTTTTAAATTTTAGGTTTCTAATTGGTAATTGACAAATTTTTCTTAAATATTAGAATTAAATATTTTATCAATGAAGTTAAGGTTTTTCATTCTGATTCTTTCTTTATTATTCTTTTTTTTTGTGTACGGGTTGGTAAGCGAATTGATCGATTAGGTATATACAAACTTAACTTTATTATGTACACACTTATACACAAACTATATATAAACCTAGGGTGTAGTTACCCGGAGCCGATGTATTCAAGACGGAGAATTAGGATGTTGTGATCGATCCCAGATCTCCCACCGTTGAATTTTTTAATTTAATTTATTATATTTCTTTTGTCAAGGTAAAGTAGTAATAAACCCAGGGATGTTTGCAAATGATGGGAAATTTTGCTGTGTTGAAGAAACGTCTCCGGGTACTAAAATATTTAAAATATAATTAAGGGTTTAGTCCCCACACTTTATTTTTAAAAACAATTGATGCAAATTTAGTTTTAAGAGTCAAGTGTTCATAAAATTGAAATTTTTACTTTTTCTTTGGCCTAACAAAATAAACACTTCAAATTTAATTTTTTTTTTGGCAGAAACGGTCATACCTATAGGTATATATACGCATACACAGTGTTGCCAACAAGTTTTTATAACATATATAATTAATACAAAATTAGGACTGTTTGTTTCATACGATTAGTAATTTAAATAAAAACATGAAATAATTATGTTTTTAGGTACTAGGTAAGTAATAAAAAAAAACAAAAAAGTTTACAATTTTTATTTTTAATTAATTATTTTGAATGAAATAATTACAATAAAAATAGCTCATTAAGTTAATTAAAATAATATTGACGTTTAATAACAAAAAAAATTATTAAATTAAATTTGGTGATCCGGACGATACCGATATATCGGTTTAGTATCCGTATCGTTACATCCCTAATTTTTGTCATTTTACTGTATAGGTCAAAGAGTTGTAGTTAAAGTAATTTCAAAGAGCATCTTATCAACTACAAATTATACCTATGTAAATTATATTCGGGTAAAAGGTCGCCAAGTTATAAAAAATTAAAAAATACTAAATTTCATATGTAATCAAAATTAAAGTAGTAGTCGTTTCCTAGTAAAAAGGTTTTAGAAAAAAAATAATATTTGATTAATAACTTTTGGATGGTATCTCTTTCCGTATTTACTTAATTAAAACTTTATCCACTAGTAGATATACATAGTTATAAATAATTAATTAGGTCATGATCCAGTCTTAGAAAATGGCAAAATAATCATTGAAAAGGTATTACCAAATAAAAAATACCTAAAACTTCGTTTTCGAGTATTCAAGGTATCGAAGTCATTACCTAACAATTAAAATTAAAAATTAAAATGAAAATAAAAATAGGTAGGTACAATTAAAATGTCATATAAAAGCGCAAACATTAACTAAACTTTTTCTTGCCTTAAAAATACATAAAAACAAATAAAATAAAATAATAAATAAATACCGCATTTTTCCATATTATACTCGTATATAATTTAAACAAGCGTTATGTAGAGCAATTTCCAGAACCCTGTATAAAAATAAATAAAGTAAACCAAACCATACATTTTAAAAATGTTCATTTTAAAGTAAAAATGCAAACATTGTTGTAATTATTATGTTTAGATTGCAACCAGATAATAATAATAACGCTTCGACCTCAATAAAAATGCATCCAATCACCGCAAATCATTTGTTTTCAATAAATTACCTTTACACACATACATAAAACATTTACTGGTTTTAGCATTGTTAAGTAACATCATTCTTATAATAGTCGCCGTTTAACTTATTTAACATCGGTTAAGCAGAATGAAAGTGCATCTGTTTGCGAATTTATTTGTTTTAATTTTTGCTTGTAAAAATGTGGAAAGTTCGAAGATATTGGGTGTTTTTCCTATGGCAGCTCATAGTCATTACACATTAGGTTTTACATTAATGAAAGAATTGGCAGAAAGGGGTCATGAAGTTACTTTTATTACACCTTATAGACATAAAGAAGATATCGAGAATTTGAAACTTGTTTCTGTAGAAGAAGTCGTTGAAGGAGTTACAGGTATTGTTTTTAGTAATTAAATTTCGTACAAAAAATAGTTCTTGTAGATTTTAATCAATTATTTAAATTCATTTTTATACTATTATTGCTTCATTTTGGTTTATTAAACCTTTACGAATGGTTCAAAACTGTTTGGTGGTAAATGTTTAGTTACTCAACAATATACTGGTCTTGCCCTATAGGCAGTGGTGGACTAAACCCGTCGGAGGCCCGGGGCGGTAAAATAAAATGGGGCCCCTAGTCTTCTTATGAAATAATGTGGTTTTTTTGGATATATTAATGTTTTGTTATTTTAAATTTGTTAGTAGATCCTCCTAGCAAGTCCTTTGCAATACTATTAATGTAATCAGGGATATGAAAATTGATTACAAGCTTATTTCAGCGAACTTATAAGTTTACTTATACTTGTTAATAATTTAAATTTTAAAAATCAAGAGGCCCACTCATGGCAGTCTAAGATTAACCATTATTTAATGTAATTATAACCTTTTTTCTATTTCCTGATGGATTGCAGCTAGGGGCTCCCGAGACAAAAATATTAAAAATATTTTTTATTTTTGACTTTTTATTTTGTTTTTTTTTCATAGCATGTTATTCTTTAGAAACTTGAAATCTCCGGGGTATTTTTTTTATTCAGTTTATATTTTATGGTAAAGCTGGGTCCTGAAATATTTATACCTATACTAGAGTTTTAAAGTGTCGAAAAAAAAACGAAAAAATTGGGAAAAAAACAGGTTTAAAAAATTTTTTTTTTTGGGAAAAATTGATTTTTTTTTTAAATATATACATTTGAAAAAAGTAGCAATCAACAACTTAACATTAATTTAATTAAAAAAAACCTAAACATTGAATTAAATTAAATTTATTTAAGAAAATGATATTATGAATAATCATAATATCATTTTCTTAATTTATTTTAATTTAATTCAATGTTTAGTTTTATTATTTTTTAATTCAATTAATGTTGATTGCTACTTCACTTTTTTCTCGATATCAATATACGGATAGTACCTACATATCTGTAAAATTTTGTAAATTTTTAGAAAAATTGACTTTTGCATTTTTTTGTTTTACTTCTTTAAATAAAATGAGAATCAATTTTTCAATTTTTCTGAAAATTTCCCAATTCTTTTTTTCCGGAAAAAAACCGGTTTTTTTTCGCCGGCTCAATTTTTCCGGAAATTTAAAAACCCTAAATTTTAGATTTAGTTTTTTGTTGTACTGATAAAGACTACTTCAGATTTGGGGGTCCTTCTGGACCGGGGACCCGGGGCGGACCGCCCCCCCTTAGTCCGCCATTGCCTATAGGGTATACTTTTTTAAATATTTTAATGATGGCCGAAAGAGTGCATTTTTAACATTAACATTCTCAGAAAGAAAACGATCAAAATAGGCTGTTCTTCCTAATACACCCCATCACCATATACTTCACATTTAGCCGCCTACTTTTTTTTGAGTGCCTACCTAAATAAAATTAAAACATCATATAATTTCGTTTCAGAACAAAAAAAACAACTTTACAACATGCACGAATGGAGTTTTTATTACCAAGCTAAATTCATTCTTAATATTGGTATAGATTTTACAAGAAAAATCTTTAATATTAAATCAGTAAAGGATTTATTGAGGAGCAAGGAGAAATTTGATGTTATTATTATGGAAAATTTCATAAATGACGCTTTTATCGGATTGGGTAATCACTTTAAGGCACCTGTGATATTAATAGCGCCAGGGCCTACAACGTACCTATGTAATTATTTTGTTAGTAACCCTTCACCATCATCATATGTGCCTAATATTGCCTCTAGATTTAGCTCTGATATGACTCTAATTGAGAGAATGAAGAATTTATACTATGACATATTAGGAGAATATTTAATACATCTATATGCCATACCAAAACACAATGAAATAATGCAAGAATATTTACCTGGTACTCCAAATTTACGCGAGATAATGTCCAATGTCAGTTTAATCCTAACATCATCGCATGTTAGTATAAACACTCCAGCACCTACAGTACCTGCAGTCAAAGAAATAGGTGGTTATCACGTTAGTAAACCTGAAAAATTACCAAATGATTTACAGGAGTTTTTGGATAACGCCAAAGAAGGGATCGTATTGTTTTCTTTGGGATCGAACTTACAGAGCTCTGATTTACCAGAACACATGAAAAATGCTATTTTAAAAACGTTATCTAAGCTCAAACAGAAAGTCTTATGGAAGTTTGAGGTGGACATACCAAACAAACCTAAGAATGTCAAGATTATGAATTGGTTACCACAAAACAGTGTTTTAGGTATTTAAAACCTTCATAAAGTTTACCATTTTTTATTATATTTTTTTAGCACACCCAAATATAAAACTTTTTATCTCACATGGAGGTCTTCTAAGTGTTATAGAGTCAGTACACTATGGCGTACCTATTCTAGGAATACCAGTGTTTTGGGATCAAGAATTTAACATAAGATCTGCTGAAAACAATGGTTTTGCCATTAACTTACCTTTTAAAGAATTAAACGAAAGGACATTCTCAACTGCTGTAAATGATCTCCTTAATAACCCAGAGTAAATTTTATTAAATATTGCCTTGGTTTTTATGTTTACTAATTTTGTTTTAGATACACAAAAAATGTTAAATCAAGACAAAAAATTCTTCACGATCAACCTTTAACTCCTATGGATACAGCCGTATATTGGATTGAATATGTTATACGTCATAATGGTGCACATCATCTAAAATCGCCATCATTGAAGCTAAAATGGTACCAAATAAATATGTTGGATATTGCAATTATTTTAACGTTGTTTACTATACTTTTGTTTGTTATTTTTTATTTTATTATCAAGCATATTATTAGCATGTTTGGTGACACAACGGCTGTTAAAGCTAAAAAAAATTAATAAATATATTTCATATGTTTCGTATATGAAGTTTAGATTACTTTATTTTAATTTTTAACATGTATGTATACAATTATAATTATTTGAAGCTCGCTTGCGTTAGAGAAATGATTAGTACACCCACCCAGTCAATGTTCTTTGCAACCTTGAGCGGGTACTATGTATTTTTAGACAGTTTTATTATCTTTCTAACGTAAAGATTTAAACTTTAAATATCTTAGTTGTGACTATCAACTCTAGACAACATGGCAAACGCTTGTTGTTTTATTCTTTTTATCGCTTTGTTAAGTAATTGTGAGTGTGCAAGAATTTTGAGTGTGTTTCCTTCTATCGGGTATAGTCAATTTAAACTAGGTGAGCGGCTTATTGAAGAGTTAGTCGCTAAAGGGCACGATGTTACTGTTATTAGTTTATTTGAACCTAAAAATCCTGAAAATTATACAACCATTACATTGAAGGAATTAAAGGAGATGTATAACCCAGGTAAGCAATACCTTATTTAAGAAAAAAAACTTAAAATATCCATTTAAAATAATTTTTAAGAAAAAATAATACTGCACTTAATAGATATGACTTTTAGGCACATAAAAATAACATTTAACAGCCAATTCTTATGTAAAATAGTCCCCTAAATCCGAAAATACCGTAAAAAATTATTAAAGTAAAAGTAAAGCAGTTTTTGAGATATAGTCAATTCCATTTTATATGGAAAATTGACTATATCTCAAAAACTATTCGACTTTTTCAATTTTTAATGACATTTTCGGATTCAGGGGACAATTTTACATGGAAATTTACTGCTAAATGTTCGGGATACAAATTGCTTTTGACAAGAATTATTAGTGGCAATTAGTTATTTTTGACTAATTTATTTTTAGAGAGTAGGTACATAAAAATAAACAAAAAAATATTCTTAAAATATATAATATACATATATATTAAACTTGGTTTTGTGTTTTAATAAACACTGTTTGTTATGTCGCTTATCTGAGATTATTTTTTTGTAGAACGAAAAAGAACGTTTTACCTCGCATGATGTGATTGGCACGTAGTTTACTACATCCCCAATGTTAATGGAGGATGGTAAGGTTTCATCATTATCACCTTCTAGAATTTTATTAATTTTTTTATATAAATATATGTATACCCTGGATTGTTGTCCAAAACATATTTGGGATATGAATTTTCACAATAAAAAAACGCCAAGGTCCATATATTGTTAAATTTTTACGAATTCCCTTGAATATTAAATTTAGTGCATGTGCAAGGTATGTTACATGCACTAAATTGGGATAAAACACTTTTAATGCAGTACCACATTTGATCACATACCTTGCAGCATCTGAGTATAAAACTTTAACTTTTTCATATTTAATGCCTTTTGGCCCTCATTGTGCAATAACTATAAAAATATTAATTAGAATTATTTTAATTATATTTCATTATATGTAGGTACCTAGATTATTGTTAACGAATCTGGCTACTGTGATAATTGTTTTTTTAAACGCAACTTAATACATGTGTTTTGGAAGCACCTTCACCACATAATTTACCTACAATTAAATTGTAGCACTTTTATTTTTAGTAACTTTTATCTTTATCTTTTATCTTTTATTTTTAGTCATTTTAAAAGATTCTTTACTATTTAGTCATTATCGTTTTGTAGCCAAAATCACATCTGTGCAAACTAAGTTTGCTATTTTGTTAATTGCATTTCTTTAAATCGATTTTTTATTAAAATTAAAAAGTAAGTCTTTTATTTTAGGTAAAAATTTAAGTGCCTTAGGCGGGCATTTAGGCATTTTAGGAAAGGTTTTGATACTTTGGGCATTATTGACAAAAAAAGGCAAAAGAGTTTAATTGTACCTACTAAAAATGCCCAAAACACATTTTGCAATAGCAATTTTTAACAGCCTATCAAAATTGACGATAGGCATTTTGCCTAGAATCAGGTCTTTGGATATTCTCTCTTAAAATGAAAAAGTTAATATTCTTCTATATGAATTAGTACCAGCATTGTTTACTAATAAAATAGTCCTTTTCACTTTTAAATAGTTTTTACTAGTTTGACTAATTTTAGACAAGTCACAATCTTTGACTGTTTTTGAGAGTAAAAAGCAATAATTTCTTTAATCGTTTTTAATTCTTGCGGCCAACAATAAATTATTGTTAGAGACTGCATTTTACTCTAACTTTAAGTTATTTAACATTTAGCATTTGCATGGTTAAATGCTTAAAAACAAACAAAGATGCAAAAAGTTTGGCTTAAAACAGCAACACAAAAAAGATATATAGCTTTAAAATATTATTAACAATATTAATACCTACACAAATAAAACTAATTTTTATAAAAGTGATAGTAGAGCACCGGCTTAACACACGCTTGACAAAAGACACCCCCGAGTTCAAATCCTGGCTGGGTCAATACTTTTTTTTAAATTTAAATCTACTAATTTGACTATTTTATTAAGTAGAATTTGACAATTATTAGGGACTGCTTGTTAACTATAACAATTAGTCAATTAAGACATATTTAGTTATTTTTGACTAATTAATTTTAAGATAGTAGACTTATTTAACGATATATAGCTTATGCTAAAAATAAAGATATTTATTATTATTATTATTATTGTTTTTATTTCTCTCTATTCACGTTGTTAGGTGCCTTATAATGGTTACCATTATATGTGAAAAACCCCTAATAATGTAGGTAATAATCTGCAGTAGAAGTAGAAAAAGATTATTGCCAGTAAAAAAATTATTTCTTATTTTACATCTCGTTTCTTAAATCTTTTTTTTAGGGAGTGGCCCCGAACTGACTCAAGATGTAGACCTTATTACCGATGTAAAGATGGTATACGAGGTTGGCTACTACATAACAGAAGAAATACTTAAACACGAAAAAGTACAAAATCTGCTAAAATCCGATGCGAAAATTGATTTGGTTTTAATGGAACATTTTTTCAACGAGGCGCACATGGGATTTGCAAAACACTTTGACGCTCATTTGGTGTTATTAAGTTCAATCGGGTTGTGCGAATGGAACTATAATTTACTAGGGAATTCGTTTTTACCATCCATAAATAGTGTATCATTTCTACACCAAACTAATTCTATGAACTTTTGGGAAAGATTGAAAAATACTTTTGTTGGTTTATCTATTAATTTGTATCAAGACTTCGTATCGTATCCAAAACAGCAAGAATATCTGGATAAGTATTTTCTAGAGAAAATGGACTTAAAAGACTTAATGTACAGTGCAGAATTAATGTTGTTGAACTCTGACCCCAGCGTAGGCGATAATTTTGAATCTAACAGAGCCACAATAGAAATAGGAGGATTCCACATTAAAGAAAAACCATTGCCTGAACAGTTACAACGATTTTTAGATACAGCAGAGGAAGGGGTAATATTATTTAGTTTGGGTTCAAATGTAAAAAGTACAGATTTGAGCATAGAAAAAATACAGGATATATTAAACGTGTTTGCTGCTCTAAAACAAAGAGTGATCTGGAAGTTTGAAGATTTGGATATGATTGAAGTACCAAATAATATCATTGTTTCCAAATGGGTACCACAAACTGATATACTTGGTAAGTAAGATTAAAAAGATTGTAAAATTTACTAACTTAATATTTTTTAGCTCATCGCAATATGATTGTGTTTATAACTCATGGTGGAATACTTAGTACCACAGAATCAATATTTTATGGGGTCCCCATGATTGGCATACCATTATTTGGAGATCAAAGAATGAACGTTGCCAGATCTGTTAAAAATGGCCATACCATACACTTGCCATTGCGAGATTTAAATGCTGAAACATTACAAACAGCTATAGACGAAATTTTAAATAATCCCAAATATCAAGCAAATGCAAGAAAACGGTCTAATATTTTACGTGATAAACCGATTTTACCGATAGAGTTAGCTATGTTTTGGATTGAACATGTGCTTAGGCATGATGGCATAGATTACTTAAGATCTACCTCATTAGATTTAAGTTGGTACCAAAAATACTTATTGGATGTGATACTATTTGTAGTACTCATTAGTTTAAGTTCTTTAGTTTTATTTATATTTACAGTAAAAAAAATTATTTTAAGGATTTATTCACAAAATAATAAAACTGCTCTTACCTCCCACACGAATGAAAAAAAGAAAAAGAAAAAGAAAAATTGATGTATTTTTTTAAATAAATTTTTATAATATATTAATATTAATTACATTTTTGTATAATTATTATAAATAATTAGAAAACACCTTACAGGTTTATCAAATTTGTTGAGGTAAATATTTTGCAATAAAAATTAAACAAGTTTTTAAATTATTGTTGTATTTAAACAATATATACAGGGTGTTATGTAATTAATGTTACATATTACAATGGGTTGTTCCTTAGGGTCCATAAAGAAGCACCTGAAACAAGTTCCAAAGACTAAAAATAATTTATAATAACCTTTATCCTACCAAAAAGTACGCCACTGATCGACTAGGAACTTTAGGCTAATCTGGTTGCCTAATTTAATTTATTATGTTATGGTTGGTAACAACAGCGTTTCCAAATTCTGTCAAAAAAGTTGACAAACATTGTTTAAATTTAGCCTAATTACAAAAATGACAAAATTAACTATGCAAATTGTCAATTTGGCGTTTTTAGTAATTGTTGGTTATGTCATTTTTGTACCGAAGGTAAATTTAAACAAAATCTGCCAACTTTTATGACATAATCTAGTGAATTTCTTTCAAATTTTACGTTATGTGCTCAAATTGTAAATATCTTAAAAAAGGGAAGTGCTTTTGGATTTATTTACAAAAATTAAATGTTTGTAATGGTACGATATATGGTGCAGTTAATTTTTAACATTTCTTAATTTATTATTTTAAGGCTTTACGAAATATGAAACTAGTTCTAAATATTTAACTTAAAATTGTATCAAGTGTGCATTAGTAACTTAATATTTAGACCCATTCTGTTTATATTATATAATTTATTAGGGCCATATTTAACCTAAGCATTCCAGAGTTAGAGTCTTTGTCAACACGTAATAAAAATAGGGTATAGTACGTTTGACGTAGAATGATATTTGTAAATCACTGTAAAGGAACTAAGTGTGGACCTACGTGCTGATGTCTTTAAGCATCCCATGATGCACTAGGGAGACTTACCATTACCGCACGTATGTCTGAGCCATATCGGTAGAGAGATGAGGTTTGTACGAACTATATATCAATAGGCCTGTTTGGCTTTGATAAAATAAACATAAAAAGAACGTGTTAAAAACTTAGAGAGAACAGTATATTTTAGACAGTTACGTGTTGCTATTTGAAGGGATTAGTTTAATTTTTTAATTTTTTAGACAGTTGGTTTTTGCTATTTGAAGAGAGAGTTACGTTTTACTATTTGAAGGGAAGAGTTGAATTCTTTAAGTTTATAAGGGAGTGAATTTAACAAATAATACATTGTTTTTTATATAACTTCAGTTTTTTGTGAAAGTGTTGTTCATTTAAATAGGTATGTCTTTTCTATATTTAGTTATTATAATCTGAGGTCACAAATATCATAATGAGTGGTTAATTATTTAATATTTAATTTAAACTATATTTTATTATTATTATTTCAACTTGTTTTTGTGAGAGAAATAATAAGTTGAATTACTTTATCTTAAAGGTTTTTGTTGGACAAACCGAATTACAAATTTATTATAATCATTATTTTATGTTTATAATTATTATATTTATATTACATTTACTTTAACATATTATATTGTAATGTAATTTTACATTTTACTACATATTTATATTTAACAGTTTATCTTATGTTATTTATTTGATAAATTGATATTCATTATTTAATATGTTGAGGCTTTGTTGCAATTGCGCCACACCAAACACTTGTTAGAATTTTCTTTTATTGTTTAACGGTGTTGGTATCGGTCGAGGGGGTCGAGCCCGGAGACTTGTAAGTATCAATTCACCCATCTTTACAATAAATGCTAGGTAGGGCCCATGATGTGAGTTTTTATGACATGTCTTATTTTATTATTATTGATAATCATTTTATTTTGCTATATTTGATTTGCACTGACATGTTTTTATTACTTGATTATACCTGATTGTATTTGTTATTTATGGCTGTACAATTAAATTGCATTACCGTTGTCCACTACTACACCACTTGTTATTTATATATTTATTTATACAAATACCATTTATTATTGTTGCTTGTGACCTAAGTTATATTATACTTTATGTTTCACATTATTGTTGTTTGTTGCTGTACATTGATAATTATTTTAATGTGTATTTGCTTTTCTACACCGTCCGAGCCTACCATTTATGTAGGTGAATAATCTTAGCAATATGATAATATAATTTATTATAGGTATTCATATTGATTACTTGGATTTTGTTGTATTATTTATATTATTGAGATGTGCGACACATATGCATGTCTGTATTGTATATGTGGGTTTTTAAGGTTTTACCTTATTAACTTAAATCAATCATACTTTTCAAATACAAATGTTTTTATTTATATTATTAATGTACAGTAACAATAATTAACTCTTGTATTAATTGCCTTTATAAATAAACTTATTTTAATTTAATCCTTTTTCTTTGCTTTTTAAATATCTTTTCAATTGCTCAAGTACTTACGTATCCAGAACCGTATTCACAACAAAAAGGGGTCCTAACTTAATTTATTTAGACAGATCACGTGTTTTGGCCAAATGTAGTTTTTTTGAGGTTTTAATATTATTTTTAATTATTAATGTGTGCCCCCCATGCCCAATTCGTTACAGTGCTTTATTTATTTACAAAAATTAAATGTTTAACCTGTGAACTGGTCCCAATTTCATCTCAGTAAACAGAAAGAAAAAAACCATGAAAAAATTAATTTTGTGGTTATGGATTTTTTAAAATAGGTACTAAATTTTCTAATCATTGCTTAAGCTAATAGCTGGATAAGTAAATAAATACAGAAGGTATTAAAGCATTAAGGGCATAACACTTTTGTATTTATTGAGTTTTTATTTATTTTTTGCAAAAAAAATTTTTAGTAACAATTTTTTACATCTGGCAACGCGCAGCTACTTTGTTGGTTGGTATCTATGTACTCACAGAACACAAGTGTGCAGAGATAAACCAAGTGTGTAACCAGTGGCGTATCACAAAGAATATAAAAAACTTCTAATGCATATTTTTTCTTTATCTTTGGAAACATATTTTTTTTTAAATATTTTTCCTTTACTCCTTATGTAAAAAGGTATTCAGTATTTTAATACATAACACCCTGTATATCATTACCTAATTGGAAAAATAAAAATAAACTACCAAATATATTTTTTATACTTTAAATATTTTTAAATAACCAATATATTTTGAAACGTCTTCAATAGGTTCAGTATTATTATGTTTAATATTACAAATTGGTGTATCCTGTTAAACCATCATCTTCTTAATACAAGTATGGTTGGCCATCGCTGGACATGATGTCACATTGGTGTGCGATGTTCTCTCGAAAAAAAGGCTAGAGACGAGACGAGACGATCTCTCTCGTTTTCTCGATTGTTTTAAATTTTGCGTTTTTCTCAAAATATTAAATAGATTTTAAGATTCCCGACCTCCAAATTTCAAATCTTGCCAATTAGGAGATCGTCAAAACGTTTTTCTGGCCAAATTAAATGGACCAATGAGAACATTTTTCGCATTTCATAATAAACAAAATTTGTTTCTGGTTAACGTTGTGTTATTTTATAACACAATTTAACGCTAACCAAGTAAGAAATACTTATATAGGTAATAATATTAATAATAATTTTTATAATTTACCCTGTATAAGCACATCTATGTCACTCCTTATTAAAAAACCCGTATGCTTATTCAATAAACTTATCAACAACATATGGTTTTTGAGGGGCTGACAAATTTGATATCCATTTCTTAAAAAAATAAAATGGCTTATCCAATATGACGAAAATTTGTCGTTCGGCTTTAATGGTTTGGGTAAAATTTAGTATTTAGATATTTATGGGGTCTCTGATTAAGAATTTGATATCCATTAAAAAAAACAAAATTGCGGATTCTAAATGACGGACATCAAATGCTCAACATTTTCGGCGTAAAAAGTTTTACTTTATCAGTGTGGTCTTGGCACATTTTTTTTATTTCCAGTTTAAATTTCTTTAGAAAAAAATATAATCGAATTCGTATTTCATTCCAAATAATTTTTGTATTCATACATAGCTACTTTTACCACGAGTAAAATTAGACGAGACGAGAGAAAAGCACTCTCGAGCGAGAAAAGAGTATTCTCGACGAGACGAGAGACCCATTTTCTCTCACTGCACGACACGAGACGAGAGAAGGACTTTTCTCGCCTCGTCCCGTCTTGCGGCATCACTAACATCTGAGCTTCCGACAAAAATTAATTTTATTTATTATGTTAAATACTTACTTCGTTTTATAATTGGGAAAGCTTAAAAAATTTCAGACTGCATACTTGAAAGGACATTATTTGGACCTCTGTCTATAAATACTTATGAATTATTCAACCTGAACCTACAGTACCAAACATGGTTTATATAGACAGCTACTACGTACAACCACATTTAGCCTTACAGAAGATCTTAAGAAGTATCTAGATAATGCCAAAGATGGCTTAACTTACTTCAGTGTTCAATTTTATCTTGCTTAAAGAAAACTGTACATTATTTTAAACGCTTCTGCCTGTTAAAACAAATAAAACCAAAAGGCATGTAGAAATGTGAAAGTAAAAATAGAAAAATGTTTGCTACATCAAGACATTCTAGCGCAACCCAACGTGAAGCTATACATTTTATACGAAAGTACTTCTAAAGTTATCTACCACGGAAAATCTGTTTTAACAATTTGGGGTAAATTTTTAAACGTTTGGCAAGTCTATGGTTTTGCTTCAAATATCTACTACTAAATATAATGCACGACCTACCGATGAACCCCATGAAGTTGATACCATGTTGAAGTAATTTGGTATCACCTGCATCTTGTTAATTTTATAAAATTCTTAATTATTGTATCTATTGCAGAAGTTTTAGTATTTTTATTAATAATACGTAAATTATTGGGTTAAAAAAATAAAAGTAAGAAGTATTCTTATTATATAAAATTTTATACAAAATCTATGTGACTTAAATAAA